CAATGACTGTAAGGTTGACCACTGTATTGTGGGTGGGGGAGGAGAGAAAGTCGACTCTACAGGTGTAGATACCCTGGTCTTTGGCCTCCACTGGGCTGAGGATGAGCCTTGCTGGGGAGGAACTGGTTTCGAAGGTGCCTCGGTTGCGGAGAACCTTGTCTGGCTGGTAGAGTCCGTTCTCTCCCCGGGCGTCATAGCTGTCAGGGAGAGAGATGAGAGTTTTATAAGGTATATTCATAGAGACAAAATAGATAAAAGGACAAAAATATATACTTATGTCATCTTTAGTAAAGTTTCGGGCCTGGGACCTTCTTCATTCCATGAAGCATGGCCAGAAACTAATTCAATAAAGATTTTTTAGCACATGCGCTTGTGTCTTTCCATATAAACGAGAGCCACTGTGAATTTGCTGTATGAGTGGGAACGTTACAAGTGGCTACACACGCATGAACATTACCCACATCTACATACGCTCGTACTATACATATGTATATACTCCTTGTAAATGAAATTCTGTGCATACATAGAAATTAATGTAAATAATATAAATAACATGAAATATTTACACCTGAATACCAGGTTCATTTGAAATTTGTGTTGCTAGTAATTAAATAATAAGTGAATAAATAGGAAGAATATAAAAACAACTGAACGTATAAGATCTCATTTGTTCAGTTAAAATATTGTGGAGCATTTATTCAATAAGAGGAAAAATGTTTTCATTAGGATATATCACACGTGAGGTACCACACGTGAGGTACCACACGTGAGGTACCACACGTGAGGTACCACACGTGAGGTACCACACGTGAGGTACCACACGTGGGGTACCACACGTGAGGTACCACACGTGAGGTACCGCACGTGAGGTACCACACGTGAGGTACCACACGTGAGGTACCACACGTGAGGTGCCACACGTGAGGTACCACAGATGAGGTACCACACGTGAGGTACCATAGTTAGGTACCACAAGTGAGGTACTATAGTTAGGTACCACAAGTGAGGTACCATAGTTAGGTACCACAAGTGAGGTACCACAGGTACCACAAGTGAGGTACCACAGGTACCACAAGTGAGGTACCACAGTTAGGTACCACAAGTGAGGTACCACAGTTAGGTACCACAAGTGAGGTACCATAGTTAGGTACCACAAGTGAGGTACCATAGTTAGGTACCACAAGTGAGGTACCATAGTTAGGTACCACAAGTGAGGTACTATAGTTAGGTACCACAAGTGAGGTACCATAGTTAGGTATCACAAGTGAGGTACCACAAGTGAGGTACCATAGGTACCACAAGCGAGGTACCACAAGTGACGTACCACAAGTGAGGTAGCATAGTTAGGTACCACAAGTGAGGTACCACAAATGAGATACTATAGTAAGGTACCACAAGTGAGGTACCACAAGTGAGGTACCACAAGTGAGGTACCATAGTGAGGTACCGCAAGTGACGTACCACAGTTATCCATACTTGCCTCAGTAATGCTCTTAATTATTCACTGATTAACCAGAAGGAATTAAAAAAAAATTTCAATATGTCTGCATACGACTCAAAAATTTTGTTTAAAATAATAAATATAACTAAGTCCCTACAGGATAACTTAGATAAATTGAGTAAATGAATAATGGAATTCAATATAGATAAAATTATTTTAATGAAAATGGAAGAAATCGAAATTAGGCTACATTTAAGTATATATTGTGTGATAAAATGTTAAAGTTATTATCAACAATGTCACCGAATATCATAAACTAAATTTAATTTTGAAGAACTCACGTGATTCACTGGCGAATTGTTAGTTTCCAAATACATGTATATGTCTGGAAAAAAATTATAAAAATGCTATTTACAACTTATATTAGGCCTAAATTAAATTAACAGTTGTATGACGCCCACATTTAAACACTTTGATACGTTAGAAAATGTCCAGAGATGTGCTACAAAATTTTTAACGGAGTTAAAAGAAATATGAGCTAGAAAAGCTGATAACATTAAGGATGCCTACACTGGCTGATAGGAGAAGCAGATGTGGCATGAGAACCAAATACAAAATCATAAAAAGCAGTGAAGCAGTAGATAAAATTTATACCGCCAGTTGGAACAAGAAACCACAGCTGCAAATTGAGGAAAAGTGGAACCGAAGAGAAAATAGGAAAAAATCCTTCTAAGAGTGGATGACCAATGGAGTGATATAATAGCACTACAACCATTGGACATAATAATAAAAAGTCGCACTGAAAAATTATTGAAGATCGATTGTTGTGAACACAGATCTGCTCCTGTATACAAAACAAGGCCAAGAAACATACATAAGAACATTAGAATGGAGGAACACTACAGAAGGCCTACAATTGAGGGAAGTTGTGGAAAGCCTGGCACTCTGAGAGATCAGGAAATCAAGAACATCGCGAGAAACTGGGCAAGCCCGAGGCATCAATACACGAGTGAAGTCGCACACTGAAGAACAAAATGAGACGCTCAGGGCTGAATGGGGAGGTGGAAGGGTCCTACACAATATGGAACAATGCTCGACATATTGCCACACCAAGGCTGACTCTCCCACAAACTGCCACCACTGTATTGCTCGAACTTTAGGGACGAAAGGCAATTGGATAGGAGGGCGGAAGGCGAATAAGAGGAATGAAGGAAGGGAAAAGGGGTGAAAGTTTGTGAATTGAGAGAGATGAATAGTTAGGGGGAGGGGTTAGAGAACAGGACAGGAGCGGATAAAATTACATACAGCATGTAGATAAGGGAAATGTAGGCAAATAACTGTGTGTTTGTGTGTACTCACCTAGCTGTGGCTGCAAGGGTCGATTAATAGCTCCTGGCCCCGCCTCTTCACTGGCCGCTACTGTGTGTGTGTGTGTGTGTGTGTGTGTGTGTGTGTGTGTGTGTGTGTGTGTGTGTGTGTGTGTGTGTTGGGAGGGGAGTGCTAAGCTAATTTCTCAAAGCGATTGCAGGTGTTGACTCTTAGCTACTGGCCCTGCCTCTCTGCTAGCTGCTACTGATTTCTCTCCTGGCAGCGTGAGCCCTTTCATACCTATCCTTAAATCTATGTATGAATTCTGCCACTACCACCTCGCGCTGTAGGTCCTTTCACTTACCACTCTAAGGCTAACGAAGTATTTCCTGGCATCCCTGTGACTCATCTGATCTTTTAACTTCTAGCTGTGACCTCGTGTACCCGAGACCCGCATCTCAGACTCTCCTTGTCCACCTTGACAGTTCCCCTCAGTATTTAGAAGTATTTAGAACGTCGTTATCATATAACCTCGGGTCCTTCTAGTGTCGGCAGGTTTAGTTACTCTAGCCTTTCTTCATAGGTCATTCCCTCGGATCTTGGGTAGTTTAGTTGAAAACCTTTGCAATTTTCCAGTTTAACATTATTAACAAGAAGTTGGTTCCATACTGACTTTTCTTTTGGTGTGTGTGTGTGTGTGTGTGTGTGTGTGTGTGTGTGTGTGTGTGTGTGTGTGTGTGTGAGAAAGATGAGAGAGATGAGAAAGGGATGCGAGAGAAAGAGAGAAAGACTGAAAGAATACTTCCTAACATCTTAGGTACTCATTAGTATTTTCACCTTCCACCTGCTCCCTCGTACTCCAGATTTTGTATTACAAAACGCCGGACGTTCATATGACAGAACCATTGAATCAGCATGCCTAGAACTTGTGTTCCAGGCTTCTTGAAAGTCCAGACTTAATGCTGTCCCAGTTAGTAATGCTGCCTAAGGCTGGGCGCGCTCATTCCCAATAAATCACCCAAGTGGTCAAGGAGAATTTGCCTTAGTACTTTGTGTGATGCCGTTGAAGGAGGATAAGAGAGCATGCAAGACATTTTGGGTGGTTGTACATATTCTAAGTCCAATTAATATGCGGGATACGAGGCTTGTTTCAACTGTCAACAAAGGAAAGATTCAGGGCACTTTAGAAGGGTATCTCGCACGCGCATACCAGCACACACGAACGCGTGAACATGCGCGCGCACAGACATAGCTGAGTCTCGACCCCAGCAACCACAATTAGGCGAGTACACACACTGCACATACTGAGCTCACCAAAAACCATACGAAGTCAGACTTCTCTTAATATAGTCCGAACAGTTTTATAGACAATGATGCAGAACAACAACTGTGAAAGAACAAGGAAATTCCAAGCAATTCCGTGACTACTCACATTCCTTGATAATGTGAGAAGCCACGAAAGCGCTTGGAATTTCGCTATTCTTTCACAGAGGTTGTTCTGCATATTGCGATATCACCTGTTTACTGTGATTTTATTGCATAGATAATAATGTAACAGTTTGAGAGAGGTTGTACGGTGATAATGTCCATATAAGAAGAAGAAAGTGCCGTTTTCCTGCTTTACTCTCTGTTTACCGTTGGGAACTAGATCATTTAATTTTTTCCAAGAAGACATCAAACGTTCCATATCCTTCTCCAGGCGCTAAATGTGTCAACAATATTTACTTAGCCCTTAAAGCTGGAGATGACTGAATTGGATACATCCAATTTCCCGGCGATATTTATCGCTAAAAGAAAAGTGAAAAAACACAGCATCTGGTTAGCTCAGTGATTGGCAGAGATTGGTCATTCTGGCATTACTTAAATTTTCATCCCCATTCAAAATATAAAGTGAATTCGAAAAGAACTTTAGACAATTATAAGTCGACATAAAGGCTCAACACGTTAGTATTTTTGCTACCAGAGGCGATATAATTTATTAAGAAGATTTTGTCTACATATGAGAATAAATATTTAAACATTTACCAATAAAGTGGGGAGAAAATTGCAAAGACAGTTTTTGCAGTATTTCGCTCTTTTGCATATGATGGATGTCAAAGAAATTTTTTGTCAGAAATGACTTTGTAGGTTAAAGATTTTGTATTATTATTATTATTATTATAATCAAGGGGAAGCGCTAAACCCGGAGGATTATACAGCGCCTGGGGGGGGGATGTGGCAGGCATTCAGGCTTAATTCGGGGAACTGGAGCACAGATCCAATTTCCTAAATCAAGAGCCCCTCACCAACATCAAGGAACCTTCCTTGAGGGGAAAAGATTTTGTATAAACTACTAATGGGGTGGGTGGATAAGGGAGTTACGAATAAATACAGTCACATTCCGTAAAGTTTTTTAATGGGATTTCATGCATGTGTCATTAACTAAAGCGTAAAGAATATCATGTAAATCCTATGTAACAGAGGAGGAAAAATTAGTATTTCTCAATCAA